TTTAAAAATGGTTAGAATGGTAATGATACAGTATGTGTATTTTACTACCATTTCAAAAAATGAAAAAAAGCCCTCTTCTTTAATACTAACTTTCTGATCTGTCACAGTGTGTATAGGTTTTAGTATAATACAAATAGCTTGAGTAGTTTGGGAGTCCTACCTGCTCTACAATTACTTACAATATTTTCATGTGTCATGCATGGTTAACCAAGGCAGCAACTGCTGTCAATTCCTCTTGCCTTTGACCCCCTGAAGGACTTGGTGGTGAGTTCATACTTCAGCTCACATCGCTAATGTCTGGTATGATTCCTTGTCACAGGCACTGAAAGATTTCCTGAAGAGACAGAAAACTGGAAGATTAGCAACTGCGGAAGAAATAGCCCTGCTCTGCGTGTATTTGGCTTCTGATGAAGTAAGCACTATTCTTCCTAGAGAGTTTGTTACCTTCAACCACAGTCGGCCACTGTTTGCTTATCAAAATAATGTCATCTGGACAATTATGGCATACATACATGCTAAGATGCTGCATTTACAAGTTAGGGATAAGTTCTGATTTAATTCGCTCAACTAAAGACCGCACCTTGAGCCACCAGCTCCTTCCTCTTTCGGCTTTACATGTCACTGAATCTTGTGGCAAATGAAACAATTGAAAAGAATCAAATTGCTCAATTTTATGAGAGATGGTTACTTTCAAAAATTACAATTAGGGAAATTCTGACAATGTAAGTCAAACAAATGAGCCTCCAAAATCACAAGAGCTTCAGGTGAACAGGGAGAGGGCTAACCAGATTTAACTGTGTCTAGAAGACACAGAACCAATATCTGCTGTTTTCAGTTTGTCCACTGAGAAAAAAAGGCAAAACTGAAATAAAAGAAATGTAACTGGAGTCTCCAAATTGCAATCCGGGGCGCACAGATCCAGACAGCAGCAACCCATGTTGTGTCCCATTAGAGAACAAAAGTTATGCGCTTTTTAAGACAAAAGGGAAAGCTTGGAGACATTGTTTACAAAGAATTTTGTTTGGTGTTGGAGCAAAAAGCTAATCTTGACTGAATATAATTGGTTGCTAAGGCTGTCACTAAGCAAAGTCTCTTGCTGCAGCAAGTTACAGGTGTTTGGGCTGAGTCCTTGGAATATTCACAGTTTGGCTCAGTGCAAAAGTTCATGGCTCCACCAGTGAGACACGCATAAAGCCCATCTTCTTAATGGCCTCCTGGCCCTATTTTAAAGCCCTTTGAAATAAGTTACTCCATTTTATTTCACCTTTCCCAAGTGTTACTGGTGACTTGTTTAGGAGAATCCCCCTGGCTCTTTTTTCTATAAATTCTTGCTTATTTGTCATCATATATGGAAATTTCTAATTCTGTCTCTTTCCACTTTGCCTCTATTTAGTAACCAGTTTCTTCCTTAGGAGCTATTATATATTTTTAAATGGCATACTGGGAAAACAAATTCTATGTATAAGGTATAGAGCACAAAAACATCCCCCTCTGTTTTATGTCTTTGAATATTACATGAGCAGAAAACTGAAATATATGAAAAGAGAGAAGGAAAGGGGAGTAGACAGAGTGGGGAGGTATGTTACTGATCAGTTAGCTCTTTACAGTAACTTGGTGCACAGCCCATGTTGGTGAATGTGACAAATACAGGGGTTGAAATGTTTTGGTGACAGAACAGTTAACACTTCTGAGGACTGTTATAACTGGAGAAGTTGCTATACAAATTACTAATGGAGCAAGTAAATTATTTAGCCTTTGTGATCTCTCTGAATCCACATCTTCAGAAGCACTCACTTGATTTGGGAGTACAGCCAGTAAGCTAAATTGTCCTAATGTGGCCAGAGCTTAGGTTACCAAATATTTGGAAATGTTCTGGCTTGATATACGCTACAAAAGGACCTTGGCCTTGTGTAAGGGCCCAGAGGAGTACATATGTAAAACAAGAAGTTAGCCTTTTTTTAAAAAGTTGGGGGATTTGGGGTCATTTCTTGGTAGTGATTGTTAACCTCCTAGTTTATCTACATTACATGATCATAGATTGAACTTTAAAATTTTCAGTACTCACATTATGTTGTCTTTCCTTCCTGCCTCCTCCATTGTCTCACATTCAGATAAATTTAAAATTAAAGCAAATTTGAGTGTTTATTATCCATGTTTAAGTTAAAATATTTTTTTAAGTTAAAAGATTATTAAACCTCTACCACAAAAATTACTTCAGCCTTAATTCTTTGGAAAATGAAAAATTCTGTGGGAAAAAAATCAGTAATTTTTTTAAACTCTTTAGTTTTATACAGATTTAGATATCTCAAAGTAGTATAGAATGTTTTTTGTGGTTTAATAATTATAATTATTAATATTCATATAAATTTAAAAAATGCATTTAGTGGGCTTCAGCTCCTGGAATGCCTATGTATATTGATCAACTAAATATACAATATCTTTTTTTATGTAATTGTTCAGTAACTGACATGACCACTTTATGAATTATATACTTGATTATGTTCAAAAGTTTATTGGTGACATAAAACTCAGCTAGTTTAAAATAGATCTAAGTTTCATTATTTAAGTGTACTACTTTAGCCTACACTTTATCCTAACTTGGAGAATGGCTGTATATCACCAAACTTACTAGTTTTCTGATTCTGGTACCAAACTCCTAACAGATCCTGCTTAGAACATGACATGTGCATACCACCAGCCAGAAGCTTGTTAACTGCAGATCACAAGAACACTCAGCAGTTTTAAAACACTTGAAATTTAATTCAGATTTTCCTATATTTGGTTTGTTAAGTACACTTTCCTGTTTCTATGAAAGTAAACTGGTTAACTGTCTCAGTCATAGAAAAGCTGTAGAAACACATCCTGTGTTAAACCTGGTTAATTGTTCTGTCTCCTTGTGTTTGTCACTGCAGTCTGCCTTCGTAACAGGCAATCCTGTCGTCATTGATGGAGGCTGGAGCTTGTGATTTCGGGATCTTCTTGCTGGGAAGGCAGGCCCCTCTTACCCAATGATCTTGGTTATGAAGAAGACTCACCCATCATGTTGTTCCTATTAATGGCATATTAAGGAAAACAAGCCCTTTTTAATGATGTCATTGTTCACAGAGGCCTTATTCTTCAAGTATGTTAAAATACTCATTCTAATCTCTTCTGAAATCATTGTAGGTGAATGACAAAAGATAATTAACTCATTGCAAATGAATAGTTTTAAAGATAAACCTCAATTTGTAAGCATATGAAATTAAAATTAAATATGAAGAAAAAGTGTTTTTTTAAAAAAGTATTAATTTCTATTTTCCAATATTCAAATATTTTTGTACAATTCTGCACTGGTTGGTATGTGGGTACCAATGTTGAAATTTTACACCATTATAAATGAATTTGTAAGGTAGTAAGGAGTTCAGCTTTGGTAATTTACATTAAAGGGAGTTTAATATGTATGAGGAAGAATATTATGCAGCTGATGGAAGTGAGTTAAAACTGATAGCAAAGAATACTTTGACTAGCATTCCCAAAGGGGCCATTGATTATAAGATTAGCTTTGGGTTTCTGGACCAAGTATTCCACTGCAGGATTACAGATAGCTTGGTTTGCAATCTAGACCAAGTCATCCAATTCATCCTAGATTTTAGTTTTCTGGTTTGTGAAATTAAGGGGTTGGGCCAAATGACTTGGGTTTCTTTCAGTGTATCATAATCAGAATGCTATAACTCTTATCAAGAGAAGTAATGGATCACTGGAGTTTATGTTATGAAGTACTTTATGCTGTGAGCAAATACATGTATGTATGGATGGATGGATGGATGGATAGCTGTGAACAAATGAATTCTAAATAAACACATGATGAGTTCTGAAAGTGATCCTTACATAAACAAATGCTCCTTCGGAGTTAGTTCTCTTAGAGTTAAGTATGAATTATAAAACGTTATAAACAATAAAAGCAAAGTAACATCTAGCCAAAAAGTTGTGTTCTCCCATCATGAAAATCAGGTGATTTATCAATGAAGATCATACGACTGAAAGAAAAGGAAAAATATATTTCATTACTGCAGTAAGAGGAAGCCAATGTCACTAGAAACTTCTGCTAATTTTAGGAGAGGAAAAATTCAGTTTAGGAAAATAATCATTTTAGATGCCCTGACAGTTTCTGGACGGAAAACTCCTTCCACAAAGGAGGACCCGAGAGACAAGAATAAGTGGTTTCTATCTCGTGGAGACGTTTACTTAACATTGTCTCTCTTAACCTGAAAAGCACTGATTAAAACTGGCACTTGCTTAAAGGAGTGAAAAACAGGTAAGAAAATTTTTATTTTTGAAGTAAATTAATATCCCTGCAAGGATTCGCACGAATATATACACAAACTTATTTGGAGGGGGGAAATATAGAGGAATGAAAGATATGGTAATTGAAGGAAGTTTTCAAGGAAAAGAAGCACACTGCTGATGGAATGGTAAAAATCTAAAACAATATACCAAGCAGGCCTCTCAAGGAAGCGATAAAAGCGGGGAAGAATGTTGGTGGGATAGAACCCTGTCTTCCCGCTGACATCTGAGAAGACACTTCTAAAAAGTACACCTAAAATATGGAGTTAAAATCCAGAACGTGTGAGTTGGCTTAGGGAACGACAGACCAAGCAACCGGCTTCCTGGCCCCCTTTCCTGGCTCCTGAAGAGCCAGCGCCGCGCGTCTCCCCCGAGCGTCCCGACGTCTCCCAGCCACGCTCGGCGCCGGGATCCACGCTCATCCCAGCCCCAGGGGCCGCCCAGGCAGCCAGCGAGAACAGCCCACTGCGACGTCGCGCGGCGCGGCTCCAAGGTCCTGACAGACCCGCCCGCAGGGCGCCCAGCGTCTTCCGCGCCCGATGCCGCGCACTCGGCGCCGCGCAAAGCCCTGAGCGTGCGCGGTGCCGGGACCGCCGCAGCGCTCGCCCGCGGCTCCCTCCCTCCGGAGAGCGCCCGGCGCGCATGCGGCCACGCGCCCGGCGCCCCGCCAGCTGCAATGAAAGCATCGTCCCGCCCTGCAGAGGCGATGGCCGCGCGGAACGCGGCGGGGGCTGTACCGGACTCCCTCGCAGATGTTACAGCGCATATGCTGACCTGCTGAGCGGAGGAGGGTGCCGGCGCCAGGCACCCCGAGGTGAGCAACCCTAGGAGAACGCTAAGGGCCCTGCCTTTTAAGGTAGTAAGCTGTGTGTGGACTGTGTGTGTTTACTGTGATTAGTTGTCGGCGTGGGTTCTTGTTGTTTGGTTGGTTTTTTGGTTATCAGATCAACCAGAGGTGCTCCTCAAACATCGGATGCTGCTAAAAACCCTCGGATGCTGCTAAAATCCCTCGGATGCTATTGACTGGAGAATATATACCCCTGCTCAAGAGTGCACGATTTAGTCTGTGGCCCTTTTTACTTAACCTTATTTTCTCACTCTAGACTCTGGTGTGATTTGTTGTCCTAAAACAGTTAATAGCAGGAAGCCACCATTTCCCAATGGGAGCTCTCTTGATGGGAGCATCGAGAAATCGGCAACGCCAGTGCATAAAGAGACTCGGTATCTTACGTGGCCAGGCCAACCTGTTTTCACCAAAAGACTAAAACCCCATTTCCCCACTCTATGTATAATAGGGTCTCCACCTGACATTATTACTAATACAAAGTACTCTCATGGAATTCGGGTTTACTGTTTCTAAGTCAAGAATGAAATATGTCAAATTAGCAAATACCTGGTGTCTTCTCTGGTCTAAGTAGGCATGGGGACAGGAGATATAAATATGAACTAAATACAGTTTCTGCTATCCAGTAGCTCAAAATTCAATGGATCAGAATATACCTAACATGTAATTAGGTAGTATGATTCATGCTACAAAAATGATGTGAGCAAAAACATAACATTTTCTACCATGCTAAGGTCCTTAGAATTATAACTCTTTTGACTAGATTTTTGCCTTTTTTATTTTTTAAGCATTTCCATTGAAGGTATTACAGAGTATGTGGAACAATCAGTGATACAGGTCTGAGTCCTGGGACCTACACCAAAAGTAGTGCTAGAGAAACTGGAAAGCTAAGAACATTTCTCAGACTCCCTTTCGTCTAGTTACAGATGTAAAATTAGGGTCTGACAGGTATATGACTTGCCTGACATTTTGGAGCAGGAGTACAGCTGAGGCCAGCTACCTGCTATTTTTAGCTGTCTTCTTTTGTCAAGGAAGTCCAGGAGATGCCAGTGGCCAGTCTCCAGAATTGTGGATGTTGGGAGGGACTTCCAGCAGTGCTGTCAGCATTGTTTTGTTGCATCACCAGCCCTATGGATGGCAAGAAGCAGTTGAGGGAGGTGGTAAACATATTCTGTGTTACCCTGCCCAGGCAGCTTCCAGATCCCAGCTTCTTGGAGTCACAGCTACAGTGGTATTCTTGAACTCCATTGTTCCTGTGGGGCCTCCTGCTTGTGGGAAAAATAGTGCATTCTTTGATGATTCAGTTCCTAGTGCTCTAGAAGTCATTCCTGGAGGCCCAGCCTAGATCTTGCACTTCTAGCCGTGTCAACAATCTAGCTGTTCAACAATTCACTTAATTCCCTGTATAAAATCCTTTTCTGCTTAAAATACCTGGAGTGGTTTCTGTTTTCCACACTGACTGATTAATGTTTGCTATGTAGCCTCTAAGAGACACCTAAACCTAATCTCTTTTGTCTCTTTAGTTGGGAAATGAAAATATGAGATCAGATCCAAAGGTTTGCAGTGAGTTGAATGCCTTTAGTTGGGCTCTGCCCTTTCCAGTTGTTACAGACCCCTGCATTTGAGTTTGGTCCCTGAAGGTTTTGAGTTTGTTATGCATAGGCTAGACTATCTCTGGAGTCTCTTCCTCTGCAAGTGTAACGTAAAATAATATGTTCTGTAGCAACAGATGGTTGAATATCTGGCTCATGGCCAACTACTTACTGGTAATTGGTAGGCTGCTGATTCTTGGTCTGTATGCAAACCCCAATATATAGAACAGAATTTTCCTCTGGGGAAGAAAGGATTTTATGTCTTTTTCACACAAAGCCTGTGAGCACAGTATGTGGGAAAATGGAGCTGCCTATATATGTACTTGTGTAATGAGGGAGTGTTCTCAGTATTTTGTAGTTATGTGTCATATGTTAAGGAAAGTACAATTATACTAAGTTCTAAAGAAATTTTAACAGTCTTATAAAGTTATTATGTATATCTTGTCAATAATAAAAGCCATCTACCTTTTTAGAAATCTGTTAATTTATTTTTCTGTGGTTTATATGAAGGACTAAAAGGTTTGAATTGACCAATGTCCCTTGTCTGTGCTCTTTAGTATATAGCACATGTATGCTTCTTTTAACAGGAAAATCTTATAAAAGGAAGATAATTACTGAGGAGACTTATTGGGACTCTGTGATGTTCTTAGTACCCTTTAAATTTTCTGTGACATAGGCATTATCACCATTTTATAGATGAAGAAAATTATCCAGACTGGTCGAGTAACTTATCTAAAATGGCCCAAATAGGAGGCAGTGACCCAGGATGTACACTCAGTGTTTTCATCTCCCACTTTCTGACTGTTCCACATCTTGCAGATTATGCTCTAATATAGATGTGCACAGAATTCCCAACATCTGCCTTCCGATTCACCTCTCATCCTTTAATCATGTGGTTCCTCTGCCTATACAGGTCTCCACAAGACTAAGCCACGTTTCAAGGCTTGATTCAAGTATTGCTTGACCCTAGTGAAGCAGGGAAGTACCTCTTCTCCTCTGTTTAACTCTATCCTGCACTTCTCACATCATAATTAAATTACGTTAAGGTAACACTAGCTGCAATATCAGATAACCTCCAAAATCTCGGTAACTTAACACAGTAGAAGCTTATTTCTCACTTTTGTAAAGTCCAATTAGGTGTTCAGCTGGTAGCTTTCTACTCAGTGATTCAGAAACCCACACTTTTCTTTTATATTATGGCTTTGTCATCCCCTAAGACCTTGAAGTTCTTAGTTTCCAGGCAATGAGCAGGAAAAGAGAGGTTACGTAGAAGATTGTATGGGATGAATAATGGAGGTAGCATACATCATTTATGCCCACCTCCCATTGGCAAGACGTCAGTGACTTGCCACACTGACTTGAAAGAGAAGCTGGGGAATGTGAACTATATGTGTGCCCAGGCAGCAGAGTAAACTGATTTGTTGAACACATATCAGTCTTTATCTCTACCTTAAAGAACAGAGACTGTATCTCAGTTGTCTTTTTATATCTCTTGTATTTTACACACCATAGAAAACTAATAAAAGTCTGATGAGCTTCACTGATTGTGAATGTAGAGGGTTGTTCTCTCACATGCCAGTGATTTAAGCTTATCACACTTCATTATGGTTGTTTGAGGATGATTTATCATTCTCTCTCTGACGAGGTTGCAATCTTTGAGTGCAGGAACCCTGTCAGACTGTTCACTGTTGAATCCCCAGCACAGGGGCTAGATATGGCAATATGTTTGTTGAATGCATGAGTCCTCAGAGGGAAAAAGACAGAATTAGTCTATGTGAAGTTAGGAAATACTAACTGAGGTGACTAGTAAAATTTTACCAAGTAGAGGAAGCAAATGAAGAAACTCAGTGATGGAGTGGTGTTTTGTTGTTTTTATTTGTTTCATGAGTAGCAATATAGAAAACAATCAAATGTTTATAAGCCCAACTTTTTTATTGAATATTCAAATACTACAACTGAGCTTCAGGGATAGGGAAAATATATAACCTTACACTCTAGATAATTTCTATTAACTAAAAGAATGGCATTAAAATTGGTACTAATTTTTAGCTACTAAAATGTTTTCTGGACGTTTTTGAGAAATATCAACACAAAGACAGTGCTCTGATTGTTCATCCTCTGTGAAGATTTTGCACATGTCACGAAGATAGGGGACACCAGGGTCCTCATCAATGCTGCTCAGCAGAGCAGCTCAGAGCTGGCTCTGCATCAGAATCACCTATTGTATTGGTTAGTATGCTTTTGGCTGCAAGTAATAAGATATTCAGCCAAAATTGCCTTCAAAAATACAAGTTTAGTTTTCTTACACAACAAGATATCTGAAGGCAAGTGGATCCAGGGTTTGTTCAGTGGCCCATTGATCTCAGGGTATAGGTTGCTGTCCCTGAGCTGATCTTGACTTTTTCTTCATGGGTTAATGACGGCTGCTAAAGTTCCCATCCACAGCTCCATCCCCCACTGCACATACACATACACACACAATTCAAAACATAAAAAGAGTAGAGTGTTCTCTTGCCTGTCTGTCTTTTTATTAGGAAAGATACTAGGATTTATTAGGAAGGCCCTGCCCACAAACTTCATTGGCAAGAAATGAATCATGCTCAGTCCTAAACCAAAAGCTGGCAAAGAGGAATGGTTTAGACTAATGATATTTTAGACTGTCATTTAGACTAATGATTGATTGATTGATTTAGACTAATGATAATTTATCCCTGGGGGTGGGGAATGGACCCACTGGCATAGCTGAGCAATGGCTGTTAGAATGATAGTAAGTCATACTGCCACACTTGGAGACATTCTGTCTCTGGAGATTCTGATTTTAGTAGGACTACGAGTAGTATTTTTTTTTAGGAGTATTTTAAACTTTCAATTAAATATATTTATCCTTGGTGGGGAGAGAGATTAGGAAGGAGAGGAGTAAGTATTGGGTCCCTTCTTCCCTAAAGGTAATTTTCTTTTATTCATATCTCATTACTATGAGATATTTTACTTCATGATGATTCAACCACATTACTGTATCAATTAGCCAAAGAGAAGAGCAGTTATTTTCCTTTGATAACTTGGTCTCATGTGGTTGGCACACCTAACATTTTCAGGAAAGGTCATTCTCATTTAGGGAAATATTCTTAGTCATTTCAGTAATTAATTGTCAAGGAAGTTTTAAGGCCTCCTCTTCACTTGATCTGAATTCCTCACTGCCTGGGTAGTTCTCCTTGGGGAAGTGAGCATTAGATCAGTTGATTAGGAGAATTCAGAAACTAGAAGCTTTCTGTATGTTCTATATAGAAATATTGTATCAGTGTGGGAACCTACACTTTGAATACATGAGTGGATGAATGCCAAAGGTAAGAGATTTTTATTATAATCATTAAACAGTACTTAGTGAACAATCATGGAGATGCTCTCTCAAATATATGAATA